TGTAAGAATAAATTTGCCAATAATCACTCCAAATATCATTACCTATATGCACGCATCCATTAAATTGCATAAAAAAATTTTGTAAATCTTTTTTTCCATTTTTGTAAAGATCTTTAATTACTCATTTAAGTGAATTTCTAGAAACACGTTTTGCTTGTGGAGCACATGCTTTTTGTACAAATTGATTAAAACCAAATCTTTCTCCAAAATTAAATGATAAATACTCAATGGAAACAAATTTACCTAATTCTTCCTTATAATTTTTTTCATTAAAACGAAATAAAGGGGAAGTGTTAGGATTGACGTACCCGGAAATTTGTTGTTGCCTGATATCGATTCCCGCTTGGGTTGGATGTTTGCTCCTAAGATGTCGTTTGAATGTTCCATATCCTTGTCCACCTGTATATTTATATATTTTTCCACAATGTTTACAAATTATATCATACCTTTTTTGACCAATATAAAACATTTCCATTTTCGTGAAGTGATCCTAAATGTCAGATGTAAGTTCCCGCTCCGCCTCCTTTGTTGTAGATATTTCGGTAGGAGGATGAAGACTTTCTTGCGTCGGGATGTGCTCCACATTGGGAAAAATGTTGATTTCATCATCTTGAAAATCTACATAATCACGAGGATCAAAAGAATGATGTGATTCCATCATGATATTCTTACCTTCGCCAGTTGGCACTCGACTTCCACTTGCCATTTTTCGAGTGGATTGAGAGAATTGAGCGGATTGATTGGGAGAATTAAGAGAGAATTGCGCGGATTGAGAAAATTGAGAGAATTTGAGAGAATTTAGAGTATTGAGAAAATTTGAGAGAAGAGAATTTGAGAGAATTGAGAGTATTGAGAGAATTTGAGAGAATTTATACGAAAAAAATGAGAAGAAAATTTAGGATAGAAAAAGCTAAATAACCATTGTAATTTGCAACGATTATCTTTTTATTTTTTTTTAAATTTTAAATTTTTTTTTAATTTTTGCCCGTTGCCAGTGCAGCCTGCAAAGGCTGCCCTGGCAACGGGCCGCAGCAAGGCCTGCAGACATGCAGGCCCTGTTGCAGGTTTTTTTTTTAATTAATTTATTTAAATTTTTTAATTTTTTTTTTGAAACCGGGCCCGGAACCGTCGGTTCTAGGCCGGTTCCAAAATTGCTGAAACCGGAACCGGGCCTGTAGGCCACTGGCCAGTTCCGGTTCCAAACCGTGGGCCCGGTCAACGGGCCGGGCCCGGGTTTGACCGGGCCGGTTCTAGGCCGAAACCGGCCCGTGGCCATGACTATCTCTAGCACACATTCACAAAAGATGATTATCTGGTGAGATGTTCAATTCAATTTTCTCTGGGAAATTTTGACGAATACCTGGCGGGCTAATCATAGCAACCACTACAGATGAATATACCTCCAAATTCTAGCCATCTCCATAGAATCAATCCCATTACACAAATCGAAACAGCCACAAACATCATAAACTCAAAATCATCATATAAAAGGGCCGAAGAAACTCAGACATGTGGTGGGTCGCCGAGATCAGAATAACAAAGAAGAAGAAAAAGAAAAACCACGAAGGGATTCGAGTCAAGGATGCACACCGCAGAGAGAGTCGCACTAAGAAAGGGAGATGGCATTTGGAGTCACTGCGAAGGACAAGCCCTGGAGTTTCAAGGAAGAGGAAGACACACACCTCCAACAATTTTTGACGTAAATACACTCTACAATTTCTTTTTCTTGGATTAATACCAACAAAAATTTTAAATTGTGCCTACTATAATACCGACATTTTCCCGCGTTACTAATAATCCTAAATTATAAATTGTGGCTAGCTGGGGCGTAAATCTTAGAATCGAGGTTGCGAGACCTCGGACTCGAGGCGGCAACCTCAAGCGGAGGTCGCGGAGGTTGGGGACAGTGAGAGAGATGGTCGCAAGCCCCTGTACGGTGGACAACAACAACGGCACAGTGATGGCCTCGTAGCATTAACATGCGGTAGCAACGGCATTGTACGGTGTGGACGATGCTGAGTATGCAAGGCTGCGCATGGCAACTTGCTAAATAGTGTTTGTTTCTGTTCTTTTGTTCCCAGAATCAGTTTGGGAACAGAAATCCGTTTGTTTAATTTTTTGATTCTGGGCACAAATTTTTGTAAATTTGTGCCCAGAATCAGTTTTGGAGCAGAATTAAGAATTAAAAAAAGTAGCTTCTTGATTCTGGGAACAAAAATGAGAATCAGTTTTTTTTTCTCCTTTTTTTTCTTGATTTTTAATGTAGCTTCTAATGTCCGACGCGAGGGCCACCCTTACCGTATCTAGCGAGATTAAAATATTTTAATAAAAAATATTATTAATAAAAAAAAATTACCAGCCATGGCCAACGACCAGGCCATGGCGAAAAAAATAAAAATATATTATTGATAAAAAAAAACTGGCCATGGCCATCTACTGGCCATGGCCATCTGGCCATGAAAAAAAAAATAAAAAAAATATTTTCAACAAAATATTTTTTATTAAAATATTTTAATAAAAAATATTTTTAATAAAAAAAATATTTTACCTGCCATGGCCAGCGACCAGGCCATGGGGGAAAAATATTTTCAATAAAAATATTTTAATAAAAAATATTATGAATAAAAAAATTATATATAAAAAAATATTTTACTGGCCATGGCCAGCGACCAGGCCATGGTGAAAAAAAAAGAAAAAAAATTTCAATAAAAAAATTTTTAGTAAAATATTTTAATAAAAAAATTATTAATACAAAAATATTTTACCGGCCATGGCCAAGAAGGAGGAGAAGAAAAAAAGAAAAGAAAAAAAGAAAGAAATATTAAAATATTTAAAATATTATTAATAAAAAGGAATTTTTTGCCATTACCAAACGCATTTATGTTCTTTTACTATTTCAAGAATGGAAATTTTGGACCGTTACCAAACGTCTTCAAATACTCAGAATCAGTTCCCAGGCACAGAATAAAAAAGAATCATTTCTGAGCAGAATTAGTTCCCGGGTATAGAATCGTTGCCATGTGCAGAGGATCTAAGGGAAAAAAACAAATAATAAGAACCATTTTAAGATAAAAAAAATTTTAATCCATTTTAAATTGAGTTGGGATTCCTTTTATAGCAATGTGCATCATTCTTTGCTTAGTAAGCAAGTCACGGTATTAAGCTATATTTTAAAAGCTCATATACTCACTCGAAAAAATAAATATTGCGGTACTTGTACATAAAACGGACGAAAATTCATTGTAGTGTGATTACCCTTAAAAAAATCTGATAATAATGAATTTTTTATGCTCTTACAAATTGTTTTTATATTTACTTTCCAATTTCAACTAGTTCCTATTAATTTGTCAACGATTGTAATACATATTCCACGAAACAAACAGCAAGTTGAAAACAATAAAGAGTGGAAAACGACTGTTCTCATGCTCCCTGTATAACAAAGATCTCGTGCTCTCTCTGCTAAGCTAATTCCTGCCAGTGCTGCAAGCAATTACAAAAACATAAACCTCTCACGCCCATAGTGAGTCATTCTTTCACCAGCAGCTTTCCCAACTGGAAGTGGTTGTTCACGTCCGGTAAGAGAACTCTCATGGGAGATATTCGGCGAAATTCTCAAACAGCACTTGCCCATGCCTCCATCACTAACTGCCACTGCGATTTGGGCCTATAGGTAATTACATGAAGTATATACGCAAAAGTGAAGTCAAGGGAGATATACCTTCATGAACTAGTGGAACAATAATAAAAGAAGTAACAGTATAAAACATATATCAGAGAACATCAACCACAGACACAGCCCAAGCTTGTTGCATCTTCTAATGAAAATCTTCTACATGTACTTCAAAAAGCTGCAAACTAACATGCTTCTCTTCCTATTTCTTGCAGAGTAAAGTCCACGAGTGAAAATAGCCAAATTACTCGCCAATGAAATCTTTTTTATCATTTCCACACTGCAAAAGACGCAAAATAAATCTATATGACTATTTTGTCAAGACTTCATTGAAAGAGTAACCATTGTAATTTATGGGTCATGTGGGAATGAAGAAAGACATCAGACAACCATACCCGTATGCTATGTTATAAACATCTAATAAAAGTTAGCAAGTAATAAATATTCAGAAAGCTTTATTGGGAATCAAATCACAACGTGACACGACTCTAAAGAATGATGAGTCTAGACCTCTTGGATATCAATCATATTCACATGTGAACAAATGACAGAGCTCTCTTTTACCTTACATATGACAACAGTACTATCTAATCCTAAAAAAATCACAATATTGATAACCAGATGTCAAAAGAGTAAGTTCTTCAAAGTTTATACCTCTAACCTTGAAACAAAACTAGTTCTTCATATAAGACCAGAATGAAGTCATCCTTTCTAAACATAACGGCAAGATGAAAAGTAACTAAAGGGTGAGGGGTGGCCCATTATACACCCAATTTTAATAAAACTGAGTGGAAAAATGGGTCCGTTAATTCATTTTGCCACCTCTACTCGTGCACAACACTCATCCTCTTTTGCTAAAAAAAATTAAAAATCTCATATGAGCCCATGACAAGTCCTCTACAATCGCCGGTCTCTCCCCCTTTCAATCATCGTATAAGTCTAAGTCATCTTGAATCTTTATTATCATAAAGAGAAACGAGAATAGGGAAAAATTAGGAAAAATATATTATACTTAAGTTATAGGATATTTTACCTAATCAACCAATCCATAATTGATGTTAGCTTATAATACTCTGTTTTTTTCAATTAATGGCGTAAGTATAAAGCCAATTCTGTAAATCCTTTTTTCCTACTGACAATGTATGCTATAATATATTAAAAGAAAATCCTAAAAATGCATAGCAACACATTGCCCCTCACTTCAAGCTAGCCTTCAATTCCTCCAACTTCATTTTCATAACAATTTGTACCATCACTCATCACTACACGCTATCATTCAAGGACCTCAACACCGCCCCCTTGACACCACTGGATCTGCAGCATCATACGATTCATGAAAAGCATTATTTCTCGAATTTACTAGAGAAATCAATCAAACAGTTTGCCATTCAACTGCGAGAACATCGTCCCCTTCCATCTCATCTTCATTCATCGTGGATATTCGTCAATCCACCATGATAGCATTCAAGTCGGTGTTCACCCCATTGAAAAGACGTTTCAAAGAAATCTTGGACTCTTCATATTATTCCAACTTCAACTCATTCTATAACATGAAATGGAAGAGCGTTAGAGAGCATGGAATACAAACCAGCTTCAAATTTGGCCACTTTGTCCCTTAGCACTTCTTGACATAACAATCTTTGCTGAATAAGATCTGATTTTTTCCTCCAAATCACTCTCCATCCTATAACTTAATTTTTTTTTTTTGGCATCCTCATCAATTTGTTTCCCTTTTCAACGCTTCAACTGCCTATTCCAGAGTGCTAGCTCTGCGACCTGCTTTTGTGGACTTCGACGCTCTAGAGAGCTCCTGATTCAATGGATTCGAATGACATGACAACTCAACTTCATGAATTGATTGAAGATTTCTTGCTCCATGTGCTTCAAGTATGTGTCATCATGACCGAGAATGACGAACCATGCTGGAGCTTGAATTCATGGGAAACGAGCAGCACCGGCGATGATTGACAACTAGTGCACCTGAAATATCCCTGGGCAAGACGTCGCTGGCCTTTGAAACAGAGCAACAACGGAGATGTTAATGGCAGACAGAAGCGAAGAAGCGCACGTAACCAAGACGAGGAATGCAGAGAAAGAGAGAGGGAGAGAAAGTCCACGGACACGATCATGGCATTGTCGAGCACGTTCAGCGAGCCTCTTTGGACTTCAATCTTCGAGAGACTTGCTTTCGCTCGATCACCAATCCAAAGCTTGGGGTCACCACCGCCGAGTCATCGATTATCTCTATCGTGAACAGGTTCTTCTCGAAACAGAGTCCAGCTTCGTCATTTCATCGAACACCTTCCTCGCAAACTCGATACCTCCTCCACAGCGCAATCAACGGCAATGCAACTCGGAAAAAAAAGCGAGGGCAAAGTAGGAATGAACTGAAATCATATCTAGAATTCAATTGGATACAAAACGACCTGGTTCAGCTGTGGGCGTCGTCAATTAGTCAGCAAAGGCCACAAACGGCTTCAAAACGTCGCCCTCAGAATAGGGCCGAACTTAAGGATGAGCTGGAGATTTATTATTTTCTTTTCTCTCTTCTTTTTCTTTTTTTTCTTTTATTTTTTTTTCATAAAAATGCATTTTCAACTTGTCGGCAAATATTCATGTGTTAAAAACTCCCTAATCGAATCTTAAAAAATAATTTTCAGCACTAGACTAAAATTCAAGCTTATGTGTCCTTTGCAGACCTAGGCCCTCTTATAATTCTGTCACGAAAGATATTACAAAAGTAGCACTCTTACTAATGCCACTTAACACAAATTGATATGAATCAATTAGTTTATTACAAAATTACAGTGGAAGTTCCAAAGATCCTCAAAGACATTCAGCTTTGGCATGGAACACAAAAATCACCATATCGTTATCAAATTTTGACGTAAAAAATCGTCAGCATCAAACTCAATTTCTTTCTGTCTGATAATAAAAGAATCTCTTACAAACTTTGGATCTAAAAGTATAACTCTTGTAAAATTGCAATAATGTTGAGTTTGATAATGAAGCCGATTTGGAAATATAATGAGAAATCAACATCCAATTTGAAGCTTGTTTACTTGGTCATAAGGTAATAATTCTGAAAACTTATGACACTTCCATATCGAAATTCTCACTACCCAATTCATATCACTACATGAAATTGATAGAGCAGAACTGATATGCATTGTACAACAGAACTCTCGAACTGATTTTGAGCAATTGATAAGTAAAATTGTCGAATTGCACCACATGATTTTCGGTTCTCTTATTCATACTGAAATCTTCAAGTTTAAAATACTTTATGCTTAGATTAAATTAGGGAATGTAATTCAAGGAGTATAAGAATCGTTGCATGGGTAACAAAAGCCATAATTTAATTGTCCAAAATAAAATACAAAAAGGTCAAATTGCAAAATACCATTTCCAGTTCAAATGCCCTTCAATATTTGAAATTCTCACGGCATAGACCGAGTTATAACACGAAATTCGCCAAGAAGACTTGCCATAGAGCGGATAAATAGAATCCCATAGCGATATCTAAAATAAGGAACTAAAAGAATTGATTTTCCGAACTTGCCCATGAACTGTGAAACATATGCACTATACATGTTACATGGAGATTATGCATCAAGTGAATTAGAGATCATGCATCAAGTAAGAAATTCAATGATCTAAAACTCATATATAGTATGACCAAAAAGAAACCTCATATATAGAGCTTACAATACCTAGCCTTGAATAAAAAACTGTGACATTCCGAATTTTAACCCATTTTTGGGATTTATAAAACGGGTATTTCGTCAGTGCGCTTATAATAAAATCTCGCCCGGAACTGATCACTCCTGAGTTATTCTTTTTAAATTAGAGATTTCGCTAAAATCGCACTCGATCGAATTTGACCGTTATTTAGAACCCAAACTTTGGTGTCGAATTTCTCGGAATTCCGGGACGAATTTAATTGGACGGTGTCGATATTATTGTGGCCAACCTCGATATTGCCCGGGATATGCGAAAAGTGAAACTTTGATCGGGCGCAGATTTGGACTAGTAAATCTCCTTCGTAGTGTGTTTTAATTAGTTTCTTCTAGCCCTTTTTCCTAATTATTAATTAGGATTTTCGTGGACCATTAGATTAATTTTTGGGTTCGAATCGTGACCGTTGGATCACAATCGTTACTTTGACTCTCTCTCTCTCTCTCTCTCTCTCTCTCTCTCTCTCTCTCTCTCTCCTCTGCGCGCCCCACCTGCCGCGCACGTTTTTCCCCCATGCACACGTCCCCTCCCCCATCAGCCATGCAGACCTATCCCCTCCCCCCTCTCTCTCTCTTCCTTTCTTTCTTTTCTTTTCTTTTTCTTCTTCTTCCCTTCTTCTTCTTCTTCCTCTCTTCCGACCCCGACTGTTTTGGCTTCCTGCTCCCGCTTCTGCTTCTGCTCGTACGACCAGCCACCGCCGACCGCCCCTCGCCATCCGCCTCGTGCCGCCGTCGCCCCGACCGAGCCACGCAGCCGTCCGTCGCCGCAATCGCCTGTCGCCGGCCTGCCCGCGCGGCACGCGAGCAGCAGCTCGCCGCTGCATCCGCCGCAGTCCAGCGCTGCCTAGTTGCCCGTCAGCCTATCCTTCGTCACCCGGCCGCCCGCGATGCCGCCGTGCCGCCTCCGGCCACCGCGCAACCATCCTTTCCCCTGTTTTTCTTCTCCCTCGGCGCCTTCCCCTGTTTCGGCTCCTAGACTTCGCCGCCCCTGCCGATCCGGTCGCTGCCGCTTCGCCTCCGTCACCCAGCCTCTCCCTTCAGCGACCTCCGCTGCCCAGCTACCCCCCTTAACCGCCGCGCAAGCTTCTTTTCCCCCTGTTTCTCTCTTCTTGGCCTCTCTCCTGTTTTGAGCTCTCCCCGGCTCCGCCTCGTCCAGCCGCCGCGCGCCGCCGCTGCTCCACCTGCCACCACCTAGCTCTCAGCCACCCTGCCCAGCCACTTGTAGCCGCCGTGCCCGCCTGGTCCACCCAACACCGCCCTAGCCCAGCCTTGGCTGGACTATCCCGACCGTGGCCGAGCCTCCGTCATCGCCACCGTTGCCATCGCCCTCGCCTGGCCTCTACCTAGCTACTCGCCCGTAGCCTAGCCGCTCGCCCGACCGTGGCCGAGCCCGTTGCCAGAGCGTCCCGGGCGGTGGCTGAGCTCGCCTAGCCCGCTGCCCAGCCGTGCTCGAGCCGTCCCAGCTGCTGCCCGTCTTCGCTGTGCCCGTGCCTGCGTGCTTGCCCGCGCGCCTGGCCGCTCGCCCGATCGTGACCGAGAGCCCCGGGTCGTGGCCGAGAGTGTGCCCAACCGCGGGAGAGCCTCGCGCCCGACGTGCCCTCGCCCACGTCGAGTCACCGCTGCTCCGACCGGGCCATTTCGGGCCTTAGCCAATTTTTCCCGGGCCAAACTTAGGTAAGTGACTTCCTAATTCCTATTTAGTACAATGGGTATTTTTAGACTTGTTTAGGGGTCAATTAGAATTGGCTTAGTGGCTAAGTTAGGGAATGGATTAGTTGGTTAGAATGTGATTAGTACCGGTTTATGAGCTAAACGTGGAGTGTGAGCAATATTTGTATGTGCGTAATTGTTAGACTAAATTGTGGTGATTATGGGGCTTAAATTATGATTGATTTATGTGAGTGTGATGATCGGCTTGTCGTAGTGTTTGTGGGTGGTTTGATGATTGATTGCGGCCGATATGAATGTCGGATTGGTGAGCTTGTGGTTTGGAATTGGGATGGTTTTGGATGCATATTAGTGGCTAATGATGGTGGGTCAATGATTGGCTTGTTGTGGCATTCGTGGGTGGATTTTATGTTCGTATGTGGTCGGCTTGAATGTCGGATTGATGGGCTAGTGTGATGGGCTTGTGATGTGATTTGGATTCGTACGGCGTGTTGAATGGCAAATCGTGATGTGGTGAGCATACCTTGAGTTTGAATGGTACGACTTGTGAGAATGGCAAATTGTGTTGTGGTGCATGTGCATGAGAAAAGTCCGGATTGATCGGAGGGCTGCCAACCTGAGGCGTGGTTACGCGGGTCATTAGAAGGGGAAAAATGTCCTGAGGCGTGGTTACGCGGGACGAAGCCCGGATTGATCGGAGGGCTGAGCCTGAGGCGCAGTAGCGCGGGCTGTGAGAATGGGCTTGAGGCGCAGTTAACAGCCCGAATTTCGATGTAAGTCCGGGATCAATAAAACGGATATTAATTCGCATTTCATGTTAGTAAGTCTCGCCCAGAGCTGATCACTCTCGGGATACTAACCAATGGGGCATGGCTAACTAGAAAGCGGTACGTGGACCGGGGACCCTATCGTGAAACGGATACCGATCGCGAGAGATGCTGAGGGAATATTTTGAACCGATGTGGGCCGATCTTAGGAAAGGTAGAGGATTTGGTTTGGCCAAGGCCAACGTTGTACACTCGGATCGCAGGTGAATCTGCATGACCGAAAAGTGCACGTGGCCAATCAGTCCTGAACCTAAACCGAACGATCGTAGCCTCTGGGGCAAGTGATAATTTCTCATTCTCTCAATGATCGAGACCATTACGATACGGGTAGCCCTAGGTCGATACGCGTAATCTCTAAACTGCCGCCCGTTAGTGAGAGACTCTGAAATTAAAAGTTTAGCGGGTTTTGTTTACGGAATTGGGCCCGGATTTCGGTATCGATTTTCGAAGGCTTAAGAGACTATTTTTGGGAATCTGACGTCATATTACGCTGGCCACACACATGTGGAGTTAGTACGAGTAAAAATTGGAATTTCGGTCCGGGGTGAAAAATTACGATTTTTGCCCCCGGGATGCCAGCGTCGCTTTTCGAGGCCAAATGAGGTTATTTTTCGTGGCCGACGCCATTTTTGGGTGGCCACGCATACCAGGAGTCGTTTTGGCCAAAAATTGGAATTTCGACAAAATTGGAAAAATAATATTATTTTATTCCCGAAACTTTGTCGTGGATTTTCGAGGGCTTGCGCGATGAATTTCGCGATTCCGACGCCATATTATATTGGCCACGCACATATGGAACACGTATGTGCGAAAATTGGAATTTCGGTTCGGGATCGAAAAATTACGAAAATGCCCCGAGGCCATTTTTGAGTAATTCCGAAAATTATTCTTAATTAGGGGTATTGGCTTGTTGTGGCATTCGTGGGTGGATTTTATGTTCGTATGTGGTCGGCTTGAATGTCGGATTGATGGGCTAGTGTGATGGGTTTATTGGATGGCTATCCTTGGCTCATATTGTAATTGTTTGGGTTTGTTTATTTTATAATTCCGCTTGTGCTTGATCTGCATGAGAAAGTCCGGATTGTGGGCGTGGGTCGGCGGCGATTCCGGCGTCGCAATTTATCGACCGAAGGTGGGATGCTCACGCCTAGCCGTGGGGTACGGGCGTGACGGGCGCAAGTAGTGAGAATGGACCTAAGACGTAGTGGCGCGGGTCGTGAGAAAGATGTTCGGCCACGCATGCGAATTGAGTGTGATTGAATTGGCTGCTTGAAT